CCATAACAATACTTTACAGCTGGGTGTGGTGGCTTATACCTGTAATTCCAGCACTTTGGGAGGCAGAGGGGGGCGGATCACCTTAGGTTAGGAGTTCAAGACCAGCCTGGCCAACATAGTGAAACCCCATCTCTACTGAAAATTCAAAAATTACCTGGGTGTGGTGACATGTGCCAGTAATCCCAGCTACTCTGGAGGCTGAGGCAGGAGAATCACTGGAACCTGGGAGGGGGAGGCTGCAGTAAGGTGAGATCGTGCTTCTGCACTCCATCCAGCCTGGGTGACAGAGCAAGACTCCACCTCAAAATAAAATAAAATAAACAACACTTCCTTCATGAGATTGTAAGAGTAGGTGGGGGGGGGCGTGATTAAATGAGACGATACATATAAAGTACTTAACCTAGTGTCTAACACATAGTAAGCTGTTATAATCGTTCATTTTTCTGTTGGGGCTTAAATGATCTTTTTTTTTTTTTAAGATAGAGTCTCACTCTGTCGCTCAGGCTGGAGTGCAGTGGCGCAATCTCGGCTCACTGCAACCTCCGCCTCCCGGGTTCAAGCAATTCTCCTGCCTCAGCCTCCAGAGTAGCTGGGATACAGGTGAGCACCACCATACCCCGCTAATTTTTGTATTTTTAGTAAAGATGGGGTTTCACCATGTTGGCCAAGATGTTCTCAAACTCCTGACCTTGTGATCAGCCCGCCTTGGACTGCCAAAGTGCTGGGATTATAGGCGTGAGCCACCGCGCCTGGCCCTGGGCTTAAATGATCTTATTGGTTTCCACGAATTCCTTAGGTAATAACAATACTAACAGTTTTTGTTTTTCCATGGCCTGTTGTTTGCCTTTTAACTTGAAGGCACACAGTTAGAAGCTTCATTTTTTTTTTTTATGTAGCCAAATCTATCTTTATTTTGTGTCTGATTTCATTAATTACTTCTAAATTGGATCCTCATCCTTCCTACAGGGCTCTGACAGATTCTGTCGCTTGTAGACTGTTTTCTCCCCATGGTTCGATTTTTATTATTTAGCCATCGAATCCATCTGGAATTTATCGTGATATATGCTCTGAGGTAAGGGTTTAACTTGATCTTTTTCCCATTGCCAGCCAATTATGCTCCAGTCATAAATCTTCCATCTCCTTACATATTGTAGCATCTTGTTTATTTTATTTATTTATTTATTTATTGAATTGAGATGGAGTCTCACTCTGTTGCGCAGGCTGGAGTGCAGTGGCACGAACTCGGCTCACTGCAACCTCTGCCTCCTGGGTTCAAGCCATCTTCTTTAGTTTACAATAAATTCCCATATCTTGTAAGAGCTTTTCTGGGCTTTCTGTTAACAGAACAAAGATCTGGCTATTTTGTATAAATATGTCTCAACATCTTGTAGGACTAGTAGACTCTTAGTTGTTATTGTTGTTTTTGTTTGTTGGTTTGTTTTACAAAATCTAAAATATGTTCACCAGTTTATTTTTCCAGATAAGCTTTTTTTTTTTTTAATGTAAAAAAGAGACGGGATCTCGCCATGTTGCCCAGGCTGGAGTGCAGTGGCTATTCACAGGCGTGACCCCACTACTGATCAACATGGGAGTTTTGACCTGGGCAGGTTCACCCCTCCTAAGGCAACCTGGTGGTCCCCCACTCCCTGGAGGTCACCACAGTGATGCCGAACTTAGTACAGACACCCGATCAGCATAGTGCACTACAGCCCAGAACTCCTGGGCTCAAGCGATTCTCCCACCTCAGCCTCTGGAGTAGCTGGGACTGCAGGCACGCGCCACCGCACCCGGCCCACATAAACTTTTAAACATTATTGATGAATTCTAAGAAAAATCCCCTAGGAATTTTGATTGAAATCAAATTAGCCCTACAAGTTTACTGGGTAGTATTGCTATTTTAGCAATAGTGTTTTACCAACTTGGAGTTTCAGGAACAAAATATAGTAATGAAACTTTCACTCTAAAGAGATAAGAGCTGGAGTTTACAGGAGGCAGCCTATCATGTCATGGAGTTTGCTGCTTATTTTCCCATCTTTTTACTCCTAGAAATGCAGGAAGATTATTGGTCATAAACACGTGAGTTAGGATAATGAAATGCCTCCAGATGCCTAGACTAAGGAATTAAGGTGGAGTGGGTGTCACAGTTACTTTGGAAAGCTTTTTGTGATTTTATTCTTTTCTTCTGGGTGGACTTTTTCTCCCCACATCCTCCTGCCAATGAATCTGCTTTTGCTTTCACTGTCCTTTCTAACCACCATCCCAATCTGTTACCTTGTAACTTCTTAGTGACAAGAAGACGTGGTCTCCTCAAGACTCACAATATATTTATGAGGATAGTGAGTGGAATATTTGATATTAGGATGATCTCTAAACATCTGGGTTATATGACTAATGTTGTAATCTTTGAGGATGAATTATTTAGGAAATTTATTTTATTTTGGAGATGGGGAAGAGAAGAAGGAATAAAATGGCTTCAGCAGAAGGAATATTCTTCTTTATTATTATTTTTTTTAGGGTGGGACTTTCTCTGTCCCCTAGGCTGAAGTGCAGTGGTGCGATCTCAGCTCACTGCAACCTCTGCCTCCCCAGTGCAAGCGATTCTCCTGTGTCAGCCTCCTGAGTAGCTAGGATTACAGATGCACGCCACATGCCCAGCTAATCTTTGTATTTTTAGTACAGATGGGGTTTCTCTGCTGGCCACGCTGGTCTCGAACTCCTAACCTCAGGTGATCCACCCACCTCAACCTCCCAAAGTGTAGGGATTACAGATGTGATCCACCGCACCCAGCCAGGAATATTATTCTATTTAAATGTCCTGAATTCTTTCAGCCTCTTTAATTCAAGTCTTAAATTCTACCCTCCCCACAAACCACCCTCCCTTTACTAAGTGTAGTAAAGCAGATATTTCAAATTCGAAGTAATGCTCTTTATTAGAATCTTAAATTTATAAACAACAATGAAGAAGTTTCAGATGGTTTTCTTGTTTCAGCTCTAGGTATAAAACTCTCAGACTTGGACTTGGGCGGCCCTCTTTTTTAAGCCTAATCTGCCAAAAAGGAATCTGAGTTCAACAGAAGGAAACAAAATGTGCTAAATCAGTAAGAATAATCCTCTAAGATGACATCCTGCATAACAGGCTCTGTAAATACAATAGTGTTGTTTAGCAGGAAATACCAAACGTATCTACTGGAATAGAAGAGACTTCTAAATTTGTAGATAGTTCGTTCACTGCATTAAGTGGAGCTTTGTGTCTGTTTTTGGTTTGCTTGTTTTCAGCTTCGGATTTGTGATAGTTGGTGGGAAGAATTAGTGATAATGTTGGGGTTATTTCTTCACTTAGAATAAACAGACTGACCTAACTCTGTTTATATCTTTGGCACTCAACAACTGTTTCTTTAATACGTTAACATCCCAGAGTAGAGAACTAATGTGAACCTTCTTATAAAGTCAATAAGCATATAGTCAGGACTATTTGATGGGAATGAGAGAATCTCATAGAACTGGCTCTTCAATGACTCTGGTGTGTAAATATCATTGTGTGTGTGTGTGTGTGTGTGTGTGTGTGTGTGTGTGTGTGTGTGTATATTTTTCCCCCAGCTTCTCTGAGAGCTGACACAGTGTAACTTCTGCATGGCAGTTCTGCTATAGGTTTGATCTGTGACCTAGGTTGAATGGAATACTTTCCGGGGAAAGCAAACTTTTGTGATACAGAAGAAAATAGATCAATGGGTGGATATGACAAGAGTTGTTCACCAGAGCAAACATAGGCCAGGTCTTTGAGCAGACCCCAGGTCACGGGTCAGCCAAGTCTTTACTGAATACAGTTTGGATCTTTGTTAATCTACCTGGAACTCTGAAAGAGGTTTTTTTGTTTTTGTTTTTTGTTTTTGAGACGGAGTCTTGCTCTGTTGCCCAGGCTGGCGTGCAGTGGCGTGATCTCCGCGCATGGCAACCTCCGCCTCCCCAGTTCAAGTGATTCTTCTGCCTCATCCTCCTAAGTAGCTGGAATTATAGGCACCCGCCACCACGCTCGGCTAATTTTTATATTTTTAGTAGAGATGGGTTTCATCATGTTGGCCAGGCTGGTCTTGAACTCCTGACCTCAAGTGATCTGCTTGCCTTGGCCTTCCAAAGTGTGGGATTGCAGGCTTGAGCCACCGTGCCCAGCCCAAAAGAGTATCAACTATGGACATACTCTGACTCCTCTCTTTTAAAAATTAGGAAGGAGCGTCTCTTTATAATTTTCTGTATAAATGCATTGTGTACATTTCTGATTTCGGTGTGTTTTGGTAGTGGAGAGAAGATTGTAATTCTATAGATGATTATAGTCTACAGGTAAAGGAAAATTAGGTCAACATCTGATCTTGCAAGGTTAAGACTGCCAAGTTAACATATCTGAATGTGGTCAGATGCTGCTGTTGGCAATGCTGCCTTGATTAGACATCATCATGCCTTGCCTGGTTAGACTGAGGTAGGGCAGAAAAGCAGATAGGGTGGCCACAGCCTCCTGTTGGCAATGGCAGGTCTTTACTGACGGGGCTGAGTATTCCTAGTTGTGACTTTGCAACCCGTGCCAGGTAAGAAGGAAGCCAGGACTAGGAGCATCACGCTGAGAGGAGTGGTCCAGCTGATGGACTCATATTCATTGCTAAGTTCAATTCACACTAAGTTCAAGAACTTGCAGAGGAGTAATTTTTGGAAACCTTAGGCATTTACTTGCTCGTCCAGTGTCAAGAAGTTGTTACAGGCAGGGCACGGTGGCTCACACCTGTAATCCCAGCACTTTGAGAGGCCAGAGTGGGTGGATTACCTGAGGTCCGGAGTTCAAGACCAGCCTGGCCAACATGATGAAACCTCATCTCTACTAAAAAATACAAAAATTAGCTGGGTGTGGTGGCAGGCACCTGTAATCCCAGCTACTAGGGAGGCTGAGGCAGGAAGAATTGCTTGAACCCAGAAGGTGGAATTGTACTTCAGCTTGGGTGACAGAGTGAGACTCTGTCAAAAAAAAAAAAGAGTAAATTGCTGCATAGGTGTGGCTTAATCTTACTGGGGCCATCACTGGTCCTAGGTTCTGTTATCTTCTATCCTAGAAACTAGGTTCCCCCAGGAGGAGTCAGGCTTTAGGAATTTATGTCACCCTAGCCAAACTCACAAGGACTATTTGTAAACTAGAATGTTTGTTTTTTCTCACATATGCATTGAACACCTACTGAGTGTGTGTTTCCGTCCTAATTTCTGGTGGAAGTCTCAAAAGGGGCTAAAGTCCCTTTAGAAGTTTGTGGGACAGATATGTAAAATAATGTTATATATAGTATGCTAAGTGTAGAATGGCCTTACATCCTGGTCTTCTGGAGACAGTCCTAGTTTATGCCTGTAGTCTCTGTATAACTATTAAGAATGCTCTCTTTCAATTTCAGATCTAAAGCTACAGGAAGAGTTATTTATGAATGTTCGGGGTACAGAAATGATAGAAAGGAAGGAGAATCAGCCTGCTTCCCCTGGGTAGACACCTGAGCTAAGTGGTGAAGGATGTTTGGGCATCGGAAGCCTGGGAACTTGGGGTGGGCTTGGGCGGGGGGAAAAGGTGTGTTCCAGGAATGTACAAAGCTCCCCCTGCAGGCAAAGGGAGAATGTTCCCAAAGCAGCAAGCAATTGGTTCAAGCTAGGCACTGTTTCCCAAATTTACCCTGTGATAGCAGTTCCCGAGGACACTTGGTGAACACACAGATTTCCAGACCCTGCTGGCAATTTGGATTTTTTTTTTTTAAGAAGGCTGGTGGATGATTCTTGGGCATATTAAAAGTTGACAACCAGTTCGCTACTGACTGGCTAGGAATACAAAGGGACGGGCATAGAGGGGATGGGAACCGCAAGACTAGAGCGCAAGTCACTGATCAGCCAGGCAGGGGTGACCTCAGGCAAGAAAGCCTTCAGAGGTAAAACCAGATGGGAGTTATTTACAGTAGATCATGAAAGATAGGGAGTGCGGGAACTATGTCAGTCACCACGGGGGATGCAGAGGAATGAAAAGATGAGAGAACTATTCAGGAGAAAGAACAGGACCTAGCTTATGCCAGTTAGTGATTTGCTGGGGTAATATTATTTCCCAGCAACAGAACACTGTGTCAGACCCAGGAGCCTGGGGGACTGCAGAACCTGAAGATTTGCTGGGTGAGCATAAACCGCAAACTACAACAGTTGGATAAGTGGTGTGATATATTTCACATGGACCTCCTGCCTAGTTTACTTCTTTAAAGTCGATAGAACACTCAGGACAGTTTGTTTATCTCTGGGAAGAAGCCAGGATGAATTCGAAAGCATCCCGACACCCTACCCCTTTCTTTTCTCTAGACTTCAGGCTAATTCCTGCCCTTCCCTTATGATAAAACTACCCTGCCAAGCCTTATCGTGTATTTTGCTCCTGTTTTTGTTATCAAATGTGTAAGACAGTCACGATGAATATACATACCAATTGCTTTCAGAGGCAACAGTTAGTCTCTTGCAAGTTTCAACGTGCACATTTTGGAGCTGCTGTCTCTGTGGGAACCTGCAGGGACCTCACAGATGCACCACACTCGGAAATTACAGTAGCACCAGAAATACCTTATCCAGGCAAGGAGATCATTAAACCTGGTGTTTGAGGCAATCAATTCACTTGGAAGAAGGTGCACTGGTGGTTTTGAGAGGAACAATCCCTACATGAAATCCCTCCATGGGAAATGAAGAACATCAGCTATTTCCCATTGCCTTCAAACCTAAAGATGTCACCAGGCCTCTTGGCTTGTTACTGAAGCAGCAAACGAAGTCAGAAATCAAAGACTTACAAGTCATGAAAAGAAAATCTAAAAAAGGAGAATGGGGTCAGGCGCTGTGTCTCGGACCTGGAATCCCAGCACTTTGGGAGGCAGAGGCGGGAGGATCGCTTGAGGCCAAGAATTCAAGACCAGCGTGGGCAACATATCGAGACCCCATCTGTATTTTAAATAAAATAAGTAAGGAGAATGGGAAACCCATCCGGCTGTAATCTCACAGGATAATTTAGCACCCTTTCCCCAAGACAAGACCTGGGCACTTAGGAAGCCTCCACGAGTGCGGTTTGGGGAGGAGGAGGGCATCTTAAATTCCAGTCCTGGCCCACTCTGGTGGCTTTGCCGAGGGATTTCCAAATCCCGGGAATGCCAGGGATGGAGATGAACGAGCTCAAATCTCCCACGCTGCCAGTGTTGAGGGGAAAACAGCAGTCCATAGCGGCCGTGAAGTTTTGTAGTTTTTTGTTGTTGTTGTTTTAACAAGGGATTTTACTTGTGTACGGTCCAATATCACCGTCGCCGTGAAGTTACAGTGGCAAGATGAAAACATTTAGAAAATTGCAAAAAGGAATAAGGAAAGAGGAAGAGCGTGGCGTGCCCCAACTCAGAAAACGGTCCTTCTCAGCTCGAACTCCGGCGGAGCCGTGGGGGGCGCCAGGGTCCCGGGGCGCAGCCGTGAAGTCCCCGCCCGCACTCGGGGCGCCACAAGAGTGACGCCGCGGTGGGGGGATCCGGCGGGCGCGCCGCCGACTTCAAAGCCCCGGCGCCGCCGCCGCCCCCGCGCGCGCGCGCGAATAGTACGGTCCGAGGGGGCGGCTCCTGGGGCGCGGCTCCGGCGGCAGCTGATGAGCGCCCCGCCGGCCCGGAGGCGGGAGTCCGCGAGCGCGGAGCGGGAGCCGCCGAGGCCAAGCCTCCGGGCGCCGCGGGCCGGGTACCTGAGGAGGCCCCCAGCACGGGCGTTTTCCCGGCGAAGGGAGCCCGGCGCGGGGCTCGCCGCGGCCGCACCGTGTGGGGAGGAGGCCGAGGAAGACGCGGCGCCGGTCGCCGGCGGGAGGAAGCGCTCCACCAGGGCCCCCGACGGCGCTCGTTTAACCACATCCGCGCCTCCGCTGGAAACGTTTGCTGGCGCCTGTCACCGGTTCCCTCCATTTTGAAAGAGAAAAAGGCTCTCCCCACCCCTTCCCCTGCCCCTAGGAGCTGGAGCTGTAGGAGCCGCGCTCATGGCGTTCAGCCCGTGGCAGATCCTGTCCCCAGTGCAGTGGGCGAAATGGACGTGGTCTGCGGTTCGCGGCGGGGCCGCCGGCGAGGACGAGGCCGGCGGGCCCGAGGGCGATCCGGAGGAGGAGGACTCGCAAGCCGAGACCAAATCTTTGAGTTTCAGGCAAGTACACGGCGTCCCTGCCGAGATGCAGACGCGCTTGCCTCCATCCATCCGTGGCTCCCTCTGTGTGCGTATGTGTGGTCGCCACCCGCGAAACCGTCCTCACGGCCGTGCCGCGTCCCCACCCGGAGCCAGGTCCCCGTGCGTCCGAAAGTTCAGGATCTTCTGTCCTCCCGTGTGTTTTCTGGCCCCCATTTCGCTAGGAGCTTTCTGAACCCAACCCAGAATCTGCGGTCTCTCCTCATCCCCGCTGGCCTCGGTCACTTTCTCTAAGCTTCGACCCCCAGCCCCCGCCCCTTCACACAGGGGAAGCGTCACTGATCTCAGCCGGTGCAACTTAGGGCCCTCCTGTGGGGAAGAACTCAATCCCCGGCCCTTCCTGGGGCCCTATGGTATACCCAAAATGCAGCCGCGGTGAAGAAGGTCGCGTGATGACAGGCCCCTGGCAGCTGCTGGGAAATGGTGGTCTCTGCCGGGCTGTCACCCGCGTGATTGCGGAAGGCAGGTGACAGCATTCTTAGCCTTGGGCCCAGGGAGTTCTAGACAGGTAGAGGCCTACGGAGCAAAAAGGAATGCCTTGCATCATCGGCTTAACTCGGGGGTGGGACCAGTATTAATTGTTAAAGCATCTGGGAAGGGGCTCTTGTGACAAAAGGAGTCTGTTGGAGCAAAAGCGCATTTTTCAGGTGGCAGAGGGAAGGATGACCTCAAAAATAAATGGTGCTGGAGGAAAGCTCCAGGGAATGGAGGCGCTTTCAGAGAGACAGGATGCCAGCCTGAGAAACCCAAGGAGGGCACTGCTCAGAGACCTCAGCCGCCTCCCGCGGGCCAGACCCTGCTGAGGACCGGTTGGTTGTGAAGTTAGACAAACGTGCTGGACTTTTAGCCTTGGTGAATATGTAGATTTCAAAGGGTGTCGGAAATACCGTTGAAAGTGGTAATTCCTCATTTTTCCTCCTTGGCAGCTCGGATTCTGAAGGTAATTTTGAGACTCCTGAAGCTGAAACCCCGATCCGATCACCTCTCAAAGAGTCCTGTGATCCATCACTCGGATTGGTGGGATCTGGGACCAAAAGCCAAGGTAAAGAAAAACTTGCATTTTTCCTGCTTGTTTTGTTTTGAAAGTTTTGAAAAATGTCAGTGAAGGGAAGGGAAAAAGTACAAATTTAGGACCATTTCAGAGGGTTTGGATTGTTTACCCAGAAAGAGCTGTTTTAAACCTCCTGGTTTATTTATTTATTTTTAGATGTGTGGTAATCAGGCTTTCTCCTCTGAGTAGAGTTTGTGCATTTGCAGTATGAGGTTACCATTATCAAACATTACTACTAGGCCTTTTTCCTCATCCCCTAAAAAAAAATGTGTATGGTACTAAAGTAGGAAGATCGTGTTTATATTTGACTTCACAAATTCCTCAGGCTAATTTGCTTTCTACTGGTGTGTGGCTGGAGACAAAAATTACAGGTAAGACTTGACTTAATGTTTGATAAGGAGGATTCTTCAGAGGCTGTTTAAGCATCACTGACCTCGCCCACTTCCATGCAGGAATGTGGTGAGCCCTTCAGTCTGCTTAAGAAAACCTGGCATGTGGGTGCCCTCCCAGCCCCTCAAGAGCCTAGCCCTTCATCGGCAGGAGTTTCTGCTGTCTCACTTAATTAGTAGAAACCTTTTTTTGTCACATAGCCAGTCTGGAATAAAATTTCACCTGTCCTCACATAATTCATATGTTTATTCACTAAGCAGAGTGCACTGTGATTCAGCAGTGAAGTCCTGTTCTCACAGAGCTAACATGGAGGGAGAACCTGTTAAGGGTTAAGCGAAATATCTATGTCAGCTCGTGTGAAGCACTGTGGAGAAAAATAAAGCAGGGAAGAGAGAGTAGGGAATATGAGGTGGGGATAGGGAAGGCCTGAAGAGGAGTTAGGAGGAGCATTCATGATTAGGTGACTTGAATAGAACCCTGAAGGCAGATTGAGGGAGCAGGCCTTGGAGGTTCCTGAGGTAGGAACCTTTCCAGCAGAAGGAGTGGCATCTGCAAAGGTCTGACAGCACCAGCCTGCTGCAGGTGAGGCCCTAAGGTGGAGGGTTCATGGTACAGTTTGAGAACCAGCCCGGAGGTCACTGTGGACTGGCTACTCAGAGAGCAGGAGGAGCTGAAGTCAGTGTGGTCAGAGGAGGTCCAGATGACGATGCTGCTACAGTGAGGATTTGGTTTTCTTTCTGAGGAAGGTGGAAAGCCACTGGAGGGTATGTGAATTTCCAAGGACTGCTATAACAAAGTAACTGAATGACTTACAATAACAGAAATTGATTCTCTCACAGTCCTGGGTAATTGGAATCAGAACCAGAAGTCTGAAGTCAAGGTGATGGTGGGGTCTTGTTCCCTCTGAAGGCTCCGGGAAGAGTCCATTCTCACCTCTTCTGGTCTCTGCTGAGTGTCTGCAATCCTTAATGTTCTTTGACTTGTGGCAGCAGAGCTCTGGTCTCTGCCTCATCACATGGCCATCTTCTCCCTATGTATCTGTCTTCTCACGCACTTCCTGTAAGGACACCAGTTGTTGAAGTTAGGGCCCACCCTAATCCAGTTTAACCTCGTCTTAACTTGGTAACATTTTCAAAGATACTATTTCTAAATAAGGTCACATTCACAGATACTAGGAGTTGGGACTTTAACGTATTGTTTTGGGAGACACAATTCAACCCATGACAGAGGGCTTTGAGCAGAGGGACTGTACTTTGACATCTTTTGTAAAAGGCTCCCTGGCTGCTGTATGGAAAAGGGACTCTAGGATGGAGGTCCTTTTTATGTGGTTTCTGTGTTCCAGTATCTGACAGTCACCCTGAAGTGGCAGAGCCAGCTTTCAGTTATCTAGCTACCTAAATTTTGCACTGAATATGACTTTCTTCTCTCCCCATTAAGTATGTTTATTGCTTAGCAACTTCTTCATAGGTTGCCTAGGGAAGTCAAGTTACTGTGGGAATAGACTGGATTATGGAGCTAGAATTACTTGTGAAATGACATCAGCAAAAAGCTGATTTGGTTTTGCTTTATATTGAGAGCTCCATGCTGTGCTTACCCCACTGAGAATTCAACAATGCCCTCAACTTGCCCTGGGTTGCATTCTGCCATTGTTTTAGGCAGGGACGACGTGGGAATAGGCAAGTTTATATACTGGAGAATTTGTGTGTGACATGTAGCTGTGTAGCACTCTCAGTGATGAAGATACCACTTGTTCCTTATAGCTTCGCTTTTCTTCTGTAAAGATTGGCAAATCAGACGGGAGATTTTAAAGCTTGAAAGAGCTATTTGGTGGCCTTCCCATCAAATTTAAATAAAGCTCCTAAGACACATGTTAAGGAGCTGTTTGAAAGCCCTTTTGAATTGCTGTCAGCTTGGGCGGCCCTTCCTCATCGTTTTGTCAGCTGCTAGACTGATTCATCCGGCCAGATTCTTTGCCAGTTGAATAGAGGCCTGGATGACCTGGGCCCCCAAAGCCACAGAGACCGATTGTTTGGTCCTTCCTGTACCAGTGACTCTCACACTCTTTTGCATTCTCTCTAAAAGGAAAACTTTTAAATGTTTATGGATCAGGAAAGCTCTGTGGGGTAGTTCATGAATGCAGACTGTAATTGTGGGGGTGGAGGAGTGTCCAGTCCAGGAAACAACCCTGCATATTATGAAGGCTTTCAGATTAGGATCTTTAAACAATAGGATGACTGCTCATCAGCCTGGTCGTACCCTGACTTCCAGGGTCCCTGTGTGCAACATCTAGAGCAAGTACTGCTGATGACCTTGTAACACACAGACAGCAAGTGTGCAAACACGGCCAGAGCACAGGTCTGATTGGGGGAATTCCAGGGGGCAGAAGGCCCTTCAGAGTCATTTCATATTGAAATTTAATTTCTGGGACTGGATAAGTTCCCTTTCTTCCAAAATTATTGATTGTTTTATTCCTCATAGTCCTTCATATTTCTGTGGTTCTAAGACGTGGTTGGACAGCATTTATAAATTATGTAAGACTTAATCATTCCGGAGGAAAGATTTATGAGGAGTTAGGCAGTCAAGAGTTAGAGCTGAAATATGCAAAGATTCTGGCTTCCTGGCATATAATGACCCTCAAATGTGTGGGCTGTGTTTACCATACCCATGGCTCCCATGCTCACTTCCTTATAATTATTTGAACTCAGGAAAACATCTAACACTGTTTTGAAATAACTTTTCTTATATTGAAACTACTTTAAGGACTTGCGGTATATAAACTCTATAATGACCCTTCCTAAGAGTTGTATGCCAGGAGTTAAGTGGTGGTTAAGGTTATAGATTTTTTTAATTTTTGAATTAACATATAGAAGCTGCTTTTAGGCTTACTGGTAAAATAAAACTCTAGCCAAAGAGATTTCCTGAAAATAACCAGACTGGCAGCTATAAAGCTTGGGCTGGTCTGTATTTGTTGTCTGTTTTCTCCCACAAAAGATGTTTAACATTGCTGCTATTGTATTGTTTTTTTCTCTTTGCTGGGAAATATATTGGTGAAGAAACATCCCCGAGGAGTGGACTTTTGAGGAGGTACAATCTCAAGTTCATCCTCTGTTTTGTTTTTTGAGACGGGATCTCTGTCTAGACTGGAGTGCAGTGGCATGATCATAGCTCACTGCAGCTGCCAACTCCTGGGCTTAAGTGATCCTCCTGCCTCAGCCTCCTGAGTAGCTGGGACCATAGGCACACACTACCATGCCTGGCTAACTTTTTAATTTTTTGTAAAGACAGGGTCTTGCCATGTTGCCTAGGCTGATCTCAAACTCCTGGCCTAAAGGGATTCTCCTGCCTTAGCCTCCCAAAGTCCTGGGATTACAGGCGTGAGCTACCATACCTGGCTTTTGTGTGTGTGTGTTTTATGGAGGACTTAGTGGCTGTGGCTTTGTGTAGCTGTTTTAGTCACAAAAACTGCAGTGGGTGCATTCTGCCCCTTGAGTTTCTCCTTCACCAAAATAGCCCTTCTTCCTCAAGCACACACACCTTTATCTACAGATTGTTACCTCTCTTTGAGAAAGAGAATCTTAATTGGTGCAGAAGCTCTCACATCACCCTTGGAACAACTTATTATACCCCCCTAGTTTGATGTGTTAATTAAATGCCTAACTATTTCAAAGACATACTGTAGTTCTCTGGAATTTTCCCCAGAATAGAAGGAAAGAGATAAATGGGATCTATACATAGATATTTACTGCCTGAGGCCTGTGGGGGAATGCCAAGTTGTTTGTTGACACAGTTTTGATAGTCTTGATCAGAATCAGCAAACTGGGCTCTTAGGCCAAACTCTGCCTGCCCCATTTTTTTGCATGGCTCTTGAGCAGAAGAATGAGTTTTACATTTTTTGATGGTTTAATGGTGATGTGTGAAAACTATGTGAAATTCAAATTTCAGGCCCCATAAAGTTTCATATATATATACACACACATACATATATATATATATATATATGTAAAATTTGGTAGATACAGGGTCTTGCTATGTTGCTCAAGCTGGTCTTGAACTCCAGGGCTTAAGTAAGTGATTCCCCTACCTCAGCCTCTCAAAATGCTGGGATTTCAGGTTTCAACCACAGCTTTCATCCCCATAAATAAGGTTTTATTGGAATACAGCCATTTTCATTCATTCAGTTATTGTGTATGTCTGCTTTTGCTCTACAGTAGCTGGGTTGAGTACTTGGAACAGAGATCAAATGTTGGCAAAAGGCTTACATATTTACTGTATTGTACAGAAAAAAATTGTCAACCTATGTCTATACTTATGACAATTTCAGTAAAAATACAAAGTTTAAGTAATTTGGGATGATGACTTTAAAAATAAAAAGGCAGCAAGGTTATAGCTGCTGAACAAATGAACTGTGGGCATGAGGTGCCATTAGTCTAGGCCTGCATGTTCAAGGAAGGCCCAGGGAGAGCCTGATGTGGCCTGGCTGTTTGTCATCTTTGCAAAAGTGAAATGATATAATTGGTCTGTCAGCGAACTTGATTTTCAGTTGACTCAAAGATCTAAGGAGCAATAAAAATTATTTAAAGCTGGGTGTGGTGGCTCACGCC